CATCAGATCAATATTGATGAGTGTCTCTTGACTATTTCGCATAACTTTAATTCAAGGTTATTAATGGTGATGGAAGCATTTCGGATCAATCACGTGCACCCCAAAGCATATGTGCAGAAAACAACAGATTTCAAACTTCGTTATCCTATCGAAATAAGATTAGTTACTAATATTCACCTTTATTTCATGTAACTGACTGTTAAATACACTATTATTTTAAACCATTCTGGTTGTACCGTGACTGAAAGAAACCACAAAATGATGTCATCTGCCAAAATTTGTCGTTTGAATGCTTCATTTCAATTTAACAAAAAGAGTATCTATCTCAACGTCTTTATTTACCTATTCTCAGTATTCCTCTGAAAAACGTAATATAAGCAGGTGGTTGTACAGTTCCAACTTCATTTTTATCAAGAGGTCTGATTACCTGCACCCACCCTATCCACCATGTTTTACATACCAAATAAAACTGATCCGGCAGAAACGATGCAGAGGAACAAACACCTTGTTAGGTCTTGTTACATCATGTAGGATGTTCATGTTATCATTTGACACCTGTTTTGCTTTCCGATAGTCATAAATATTTAGTAATTATTCTCGACACATAGCTACTATTTATTCACACTTAAACACAGAATAACTCGTAGGAATTTTGATAAGCATTTTTGCAAGTTTTATCCTTTGACAACAGTAATTCTGGCAATTATTGAGTATCATATTTAACTGATATTTTGCTTGTATGGAACCATATCTACACAGTTCACTGTGTTCATCAGAAATAATTCTATTAGGAATAATTCGTTCCCGAAAATCCTGTAGGACTATTTCAACTCTAATCATCGTTGTGAGACATCATCATATTTGCAATAACATATACGAAGTTCGTCATTTCTGTTATGCATATTCAGTAACGCTTTAGAATATCAGTAGACAATATTTAAACAGATCAAGATTACGGGATTACGTGATAGGTAGCTTTTGAAATGCAACAGACAACAAGAGTAAAGAATTTGTAAATCTCCTCCAAGAATTATCAACCTTTACCAAGAAATTGTAGCCCGATCTAAGACATCTCAGGTTATCCGGTCTGCTTTTACGTCGAAGTAACATCATAAAAAGTCAAAAGAGGGAAAATGGGTATCAGATTCCCAAACTCAGTGATGAATTCGCTTAAGAACTTTAAAACCTTGACCTAAATGTATCAGTGAACATCGGTTTCGGTGCAAAGCAATAAACTACGGGTGAATTCTCTTCAGTTAAAGTAAACAGACTTTGATTGTATTACAAAAAGAATCAAAAGACACGCTTCGCTCGTAGTTTCACAACCAAGTCAGTATGTTAGTCTTTACAAACATCACAAAGCGTTCGTCAATGAAGGCTCCAAACATCTCACTTAAAGGCCCGGCAATCGACCAGGTTTATAAAATCACTGCCGACTTATCATTTATTTATTTATTCGTTGTATTTATTTGTTCACTATAGAGATAACTCACCTTTCTCTTGCATACGATCCTCCTTCTACTACGACTAGATGTAACTCCATGAAGTTGTTCCTGGATGCGAAAACACTTAAAATCTGTTCTTCTTATCTAAGCTTGCTGTCAACGTTAGTGAACATTCAATGAACTTGTTTATTCGAACCAGTTTCCTGTTCGTTGGAGGCAACAATCCCTGACGCGGCTTAGACGTTTCCTCGTTGACCCAAGACCGGAACAATACGATCAGAAGCATCAATGTATATTATACTGACGTTATTTGTAGACGTTTTCAGTGTATTGATGGTAACCGACTGTGAATCACATGGCCAAGCTACTGTGTAATTAACTTTCTATATTGGCTTATACTTGGTTGATCAATAAATCCTTGACTTTTAATACCGCCTGTGTTAAAATCGAAATGGTTCTGGAGAGTTGTCTTCCGGTTACAGCGAATATTCCTCATATCGTTATTTACATATAAGATTTCCGTTTGTTCTCTGATGCAGATCAAATAACTTTCATGTTTTGTCTTAATATCAATGAATCCTGATTTTCGGAAACCATCTGGCCAATGCTAGGGAAATGCACTAAATAAGCCTTTAGCTCACCAACTCAGAATACATGCCCTTATGTGAAAACTGTAGGACATAAATATCCGGGTTCGACAGTATCAGCATGAAATTGAGACCCCAAGTAATGAGTAAATGGAATATATATGGAATATGGTAGCCCAAAATGTTCAAACAGCCGCCAACAGTCACAGAACTGCCACAATCATAACCACCAATATGCTCAGATCTGGTTGAGAAATCTGTTACTTGAATCCGGTGAGTGGCTTATACAATAGTATCCGCAAGTAACTTAAACTAAACATAGCAGTATTCACAATTTGCAAAAGTGATTCAACAAGCAGATGCTTTCAGAAACAATCAAAAGATGCTTGGGGCAATCCTAGTACTAACAGCGAGTAAAGTGTAAAGAAGACGGAGCTTATGGTAGACGGTATGTCAGTCAATAGCTCTCGGGATTATATGAAACAATAAACAGGGAAGTTGGCGAAGCCATAGAGCCTACTTACTCCTCCAACGGCACGAGTCCTATTGGCATTTTACATTTCTTGGCAAACTAGCCAATTCGATGAAGTGAAGGACCGGAAGTCCATGAAACAGAAAAAATATCGCATATTCGTTCGGAAGACGATTTCGCACTGTTAGGAGAATACACTTGTGTTTTAGATATGTAGGCCAAACTTTCAATAATTTTGAACTAAATTCATTTCGTTACTCATTAGAAAACTACGCAGTGGACAACGTCAGAGTGTTATCTGGTTGCACCAAGGACACTGGGTGCCTTCTTACTATGTACACTGCATATGCGTCTAAACAAACTGAACCCTAGAGGGCAAGCCAAGTCTTATTTAGGGCGTCGATGGATTGACCGCATCCCCACAACTCATCAGACACCTATAACTTGGTACACGCGCGATTTATCTCAAATCGTTTCACATTTATGTCACCTACGACGTTTTCGACGAGACTGCATTGATAAGTCTATGCTTCCGCAATGATAACATTACAGCTTCAAAAAGCATATATTTAACTAATACCGTACCCAACCCCTATTACTCGGCGGCCAGTGTCTACACATTTGCTTCTCAAAGTTGTAATGTAAATCACTTTTACAAATTGAGATCCCTGAAAGCTTTTGGAAACACCCTGCATATTTGTAGTTTCTAAAATGATGATGCTGAATAATGGAGTCCATCTAGTTGGGATTTTCATCCAATAAAATCTCGGCTAGATTGCAAATGACCACTATATGACGGCTTGATATGAACACTGCTTCTCTATGCCTAACGTACTTCTCGTGACGATAATCAATAAACCGGTTCACTCGACCATCCTTCCTTAACACTGCAACGGCCTAAATTCTACACGCGTTTCAAAGACTTCCAAACCAATCACCACTCACTGGCATCGATACTGTTTAAAAAAGGAGTTATCCTCACTTTTTGAATAAATGATGTAAAATAAAGATTATTATGTTAAGTCAGATTTGATGCTGCATTGAGATGTGCAAAAGCGCCCCATTAATCACACGAATGAATGGCTTGAAATCTTAGTAGACATTGTTTCGAACCAGCTAAGTGGAGACAGGACCCTGACTCTATTTGTCTTAAACTTCCTAAAAAGCAGTACAAATATATTTCAAGCTTCTTTCTCATTTTCAATTTTTCAGCTCTGTATATTTCCACGTCCATAATAATGTAATATTTATGTGTTGGATGATATGATGCAAATACTCCATCTTAATTTTTAAAGCAAAAATGTGACTCTCAAGATAAAAATTTGTTTTGCACTATTCAGCTTAATAAACTATGAGATATAAGTAATTCCCAGAAAGCAATACCTTGCACCAAGTATTCTAGATGAAAACATAAACATTTTATTCGGCAGTCCTCAAGAAAGTTGATAACTCAATGTACTTTTTACAGTAGCATTTACTTACTCGTATATGTATATCACCCTCTTATGTAGCAGTGCACTTAGTGTGGCCATCATGTAAGGTCGGTTCAAATCTAGACCAACGCACTCCTGAACCTCGTCTAGCTGGTAGTAGGCCTGATAAAGAGAGAAGGAAGGGCGTGAGGCTAGCGGCTCTAACCCGTAAAAAAGAATAACACCACTGCTACCGAAACTTCAAAGCTCTAAGTTTCAAGCCCTGTTGTCCACTTGGAACTCAAAGGAATAAAGTTAAAAATCATGTAGTATAACTAGTGATTCCCCGGATTGTGAATTTTCTAGGAAATATTCAATAGACAACTTAGATGTGAAGTGCGTGACTTTATAAGGTAAACCTACCAACAATGGATAATTGAGATCTTCATGATCGCTAATTAACAGGATACTCATTTACATCACTAGATATGACAGCCTATAAAATAGTGATATTACTTCTGTGATATCTGGCTAACTTAATCTTGTTATTTATAAAATATGTGCAGAAAAGTCGAATCGATCACATATGTTACAGTTTAAAACTATAAACGTAAAGATGACCTCCACGACGTAAGTGAAGTTAGCATTCACTGTCATACCAGCGCTTTCAACAAATTAGATCTCCAGTACCCAAAAATAGTCCCTTGACAAATAGCGTTGCTACAGGATATTTGATCTATATGATAAATAGAAGTGGCAGTGATGATATATTCCACATGTCAATGCGATCAATTCAAATGCCAAACAAACACATGGATTAAGAATCTATTGCTAATGAAACCTTGGCAATTTTGCAGCATACGTGGCAGACAGGTCATGATTGTTACTTTGGAATCTTGCGAAATCTTATGGTTTTGCACGGGACAAATTTTGGACTGTGTCGCACACACATGGATTAAGCGCAAAACTGAAAGATTTAGAGATGAGAGCAGATTTGTATTTAAAGTGTTAACAGACGCAGAACAAAAATCAGTAAGTTAGAATATGGCAATAGCTATGATTAATGAAATAAAAGTAGTTTGCTTCGGTACTTTAGCTTCAAAATTCTCGGAGAAGCGAAGTTTGAAGGACAGTATATACACAGGAATCTTGGAGATACCATTGAGGATAGGGATTGATTGGACCGCATGGAGTGAGGTGATGACGGATTGGATGTGAGGGGCGAAGGATGAGCTGCTGGCAATTGGGAGATGAAGGAAGGAGAACAGGAGGCTGTTGTTTGAGGGTCAGCTTGAATCATGGCAGAGGCCATGGATTGTGATGAGGGTTGGCTTGACATAGCTGACATGACTGGAGATTGCGGTATCGCAGGCTCGAGTTTGGAGGACAACCAACGATGAACTGTTAGTTGTGCCACGGACCGTTCATAGGCCCTCACCCGTGGCTTGACAAATGGTTAAACCAAAATCAAACAAAGCAAACAAAAACGAAACAAAACAGAAATAAAAACAAACGAAAAGAAAGGTACTGTTATACGATATTCCACGTAATCACTTTGGGATTGAAGCAGAAAGAACGGAAGGAGGTGATATGAAAGAGTCCTCTTTCAAAACCAATAAGAAGGAGATGCAGCGTGAGAATGACTATCGAACAAAGGAGCGCGGAGAGAAGAGTCGAGAAATACCTAGAACAACGGAAGAGGTGAAGAAATGTGGCAGATACAACACTTCGAGAAAGGCAACGAAATGAGTATAATGAGGACGCAATGGGAGGATGTCGATAATCAAAAGTCAAAACTGTCAGAGATACGGTGTCAAAATGGCAATCAAACTACAGATCTCGATCAGAGGAGTCGAAAGATGCCAAGAACAACGGTAAAAGAGGAAGAAATGTGAAAATTACAGTGATGCGAAATAGCCAGCGAAATAGAGGTGGGGATGACGAAGTGGAGAGTGGTTACTTTTGAAGACGAAGGCTACCGAAGATGAGATGATAATAAAGCTTTCAATCGATAGAACTTGAAGAGACGAGCAGAATGAGTACAAACACGGAGGGTAAAAGTAAAAGGGTGCGGAAGTTACAGGGGTTTAAATTTGATAGGTGGGTGGGGCGGGCAGTGCAGAAAAGTCGAATCGATCACATATGTTACAGTTTAAAACTATAAACGTAAAGATGACCTCCACGACGTAAGTGAAGTTAGCATTCACTGTCATACCAGCGCTTTCAACAAATTAGATCTCCAGTACCCAAAAATAGTCCCTTGACAAATAGCGTTGCTACAGGATATTTGATCTATATGATAAATAGAAGTGGCAGTGATGATATATTCCACATGTCAATGCGATCAATTCAAATGCCAAACAAACACATGGATTAAGAATCTATTGCTAATGAAACCTTGGCAATTTTGCAGCATACGTGGCAGACAGGTCATGATTGTTACTTTGGAATCTTGCGAAATCTTATGGTTTTGCACGGGACAAATTTTGGACTGTGTCGCACACACATGGATTAAGCGCAAAACTGAAAGATTTAGAGATGAGAGCAGATTTGTATTTAAAGTGTTAACAGACGCAGAACAAAAATCAGTAAGTTAGAATATGGCAATAGCTATGATTAATGAAATAAAAGTAGTTTGCTTCGGTACTTTAGCTTCAAAATTCTGGCGTGTTCCGTCTATGCAGTAGTCGTAGATAGAAATTAAAGCAGTGTTACAAAGAGAACACTAGCACTGAAAGCCGCTCTGGGAGTTCGGATTGTCTTCTTCCAACTTCTGAGTTTCATTTTCCGTGGCTTTTGACCTTTATAATAAGAAAATAACAATGCCAACATACTTTTTCAAGGAAGAGAATGGGTTGTGAAATCCAGGCCTTGAACGGATAGAGTTCCCAGAAAACAAGCTGTCAGCATTGTTATGTGGGTATCCTGCGCGTATTAGCATGTGTTGCAAAATTATCTAACAAAGTAAACTAAAATGGATGTCCAACCTGTGTTTCTGAGTTGATCTCACCAACATTTGGAGTATGAGACTCAGAACATGCTCGACGTCTTCCACACTCTGCATTATCTGCATGGTCATGTGTAACATGCACTGTGGCTTCTGGTGCAGCATGCGGGGTAAACGCCGAAAACGTGTGGCCCTTTGTGTCAACGTACAATTTTCGTTCTGCAAGATACCTTAGATGATTCTTGTCTGATTCCGATATGGGCTTTAAATCGTCCTACATTTTTCCATAGAAAACGATGAAAATAATTACCTCAGGTGTAATATTTTTCAGAGTTTTGATACCAGGATCATCAATAATATATGTAATTACAACAGAAGCTAGGAAAAGGCAAACTGAAACAATTGGAATGATAACATTCAACAAGTCAGATGTTTCTTGGACTACCACGTTAGTTATCGTAGTGTTTGGTGTTGTAAAATCTCCGTAGCTCTCAGTTGTCATATTATTATGAACAATCTCCGAAAAACAAAACAACGCCTTTAGAGCGTGAAAGTTACTAGCCTAGTATAACAAATCCAGATTTCAGATTGTAGGTTTATTGTTTGAGGTTAGAAGGCTTTTTGTCTATGTTAATCTCTTTCCAGTAAATTTCTGTGGTTTTCTGAACGCCAGTTGAATTAATCTGTTTAAGTTGCAGACACCACATTTTCTGGAGGTCGGTTCCAAGAGTTTTTGATTCTCTGTGATGACCAGTACTCTACATAATTATGATTTCTTCATTCTTTTTTGCACTCTCTTGTCCTCTTCTCTAAGGTGTTGAGACCTGGTGGTAAGAAAAATAAAGGATAGTTTAGGTTCGTAATCATTATTTAAAATATGAAATATTGCAATTAAATCTCCTCTCTGCCTGCGGCATGATAGGGATGGGAGATTTAGACTGTGTATTCTTCCCTAGTATGATAGGTTAGCCATGTCGAGAACCATACATGATGTCTTCCTCTGAACCCTTTCTAGAATATGCGAGACTAGGACTGGCTACCTAGATACAATTTTGCAGTCTTGACCTCACCAGAGAAGTTTTTATGAGGAGGTGAACATATCTCTGGTGTTTCTAGTGAAGGCTCTGAGAATCGCTGATAAGGATCTGAAACTACGTGCAGCCTTCGCATGGCAGTGCGCTGTAGTTTCTAAATCGTGGCTAACCATGACAATTAAGTCCAACCGAAGCTGAACTGATGAAAGTGTTATTCATTCTAGTTAGTAGGAACTGATGCTTGCGTGCCTGACGGGTACGGTTTCGCAGTTCGCTACATTGATCGAGTGCACCCATTCTCTGTACCACTGTGATTATTTATTGAGGTCTTCTTTCAACGTGAGCCATCACTGTCGCTCTTGAGCTGCCTCCAAATTCTTAAGTCATCTGCATATAGGAGAATCGGTGAGCATAGATAACTGATTAATATGCAAAATAAATATGAGAGGTCCGATTGTTGTGCCTTGTGACACTCCGCTACGCACTGCTGTCCAGGAGGATAGTTTCGACCTGATTCTAACCCTCTGCCTCCCATCCATGAGGAATTCCGTCATCCATTTTAGTAAGCTTCCTTTGATACCAAGACTTTCCAACTTCATGAGTAGTCCGTTTTGAGCAAATTTATCGAAGGTTTCGCTGAAGTCAATGAAGACGACGTCAATATGTCTTCTGTTGTTTCTTAATTTGACCCAACTTTCTCTTGCAGTGAGAAGATTTGACAGGCATGAGAAGTTTACTCGGAAGCCACGCTGTGCTCTGGAAAACAAATTGTTGCTTTCCAGATATGCCATGATGCGTTAGTTGATGATTCTTTCCAGTGTCTTGATTAAAGTGCTGCTGAGACTAATAGGCCTGTAATTTGAAGGGCTTTGTCTTGACCATCCTTTGTATATGGAGGTTACTATGGCGTCTTTCCAGTAACGATGTAATACTCCATTTGGGAGAGATAGCTCATAGATCTTGCCCAATGTGCCCGTTATGTGAGCTCATAGCTCCTTGAGAAGCCTTGGATGAAGATTATCAGGGCCCGTTGATCTCCCTCCATCTAGTTTCATTAGACAGTTGGGCAAAATCTCTTGGTCGACGTCAACGGAATCTATCCCGTATTCCTCCGGTGCAGTCACAGCTGATCCCATGGGGAGCAACGACTCCTGTAGAATGTCTCTGGAGAAGAAGCGTGCCCTTGATTCTGCTTTTTCGTGATCTTCTCCTATTATGTCACTGTCAATAGTCAGGTTTTGGACACCATTGGATGTTTTGTTACTGAAGTTCATTACGAGGAAATTTTCTAATGTTGTGCCTTTGCATTTTGAGCCAGATGTGCTTTGAATTTCATATTTGATTGCTGGATTTCTGCACAAGCTTTGTTCCTAGCTATGTTGTATAACTTTCTGAACTCTGGAGTCTCAAGTGTAGTATGCGGGTTCCAGAATTTATGTTTACGTCTGAGTGATTTACGGATCTCTCGGTTTATCCAAGCTGGCAATGTTTCCTAAGCTCTGGGACAGACACAGGGGTGAAAGGTTCAGTTAAGTAGGAGTTAAGGCTTTTAAACTGCTTCCACTTAACGCTCTGGGTTGATTTACCAGTTCACTGAGTTGGCTGCTGAGACGATCGCATTTATATCAGCTTTCAAAAGGTTTGGTCAAGCTGGGGTTATGGCCCCATGATACTGCTGCTGTGAACTGTAAAGTGAGCAAAGCGTGATAATTTCTTTCTGAAGGAGGAAGACGTTGTGTGAGATCCACATCCTCACCATAGGAGAACACAAGGTCTAGAGTTGAAGAGGAGTACTGTGAGTCATTGCGCGCACACCTGATGACATTTTGGAGTAGGGCTAGCGAAATGCTAGATTCCCGCAGTTTATGATCAAAAGGGTTTTCCGAAGATTGCGTTGCTAGGCTTACCCTGTCAAGTGTCCGGGTTTTGAATTCGTTGACTTCGAAACAGCATTATTTCACTGTTCAGGAGCCTAGCTTTTACATAAGAAATCATCTGTACTGTATCCAGGACTGCGGTATATAGCAATGAGGTCAATATCTTAGCCGGTACATTTAGGTCTGCAGTGTATTTCACACGATTCACTTACATGGGCGAGTGCTTCGAAGCTACGCACGGTTAAGCATTTCTCGAAGTGGATGACTTCGCCACCTCCTTTGTAGCTTGGTCACTCCACCCTGTGCACTTCGAAGTTTGACAGGTTAACTTCGTTACCAGTGTCATCAGACGTGAGCCAAGTCTCTGTGATACCAATAACATCCGAATTTCCGGCGTCTGTCATATTACCCAGCTCAGTCCGTTAGTTCAGCAGGTTGCCAGCGTTTGTACAGCAGAATGTCAACGAAGTTTCTTGCTTCCACGGCCTGCCCACAGGGGTTTCGGGATCATCAAACTTCGAACTTTGGCAACTCGAAAACCTTTAATCTTAAGGGGTATTTAGCCGTTTTGGCGTCGTTCGCTTAATTCTACGACCCAAGACTGTCTTTTGACGCTGTCTGCTAGGCACAAGTCGACACAGCTGTATTTGCCTGGTCCTTTGAGAATTTGTGATTTGCTTAGAATGGCGTCCCTCTCTTCTTTGGAGTTTACTACGACTTTGAAAATGCGTACGAGCTGATTTACTGTTGAGTCAGGTTTTGGTAAACTCTATATAAGCTGTGTATGGCAGAGGCCATGGATTGTGATGAGGGTTGGCTTGACATAGCTGACATGACTGGAGATTGCGGTATCGCAGGCTCGAGTTTGGAGGACAACCAACGATGAACTGTTAGTTGTGCCACGGACCGTTCATAGGCCCTCACCCGTGGCTTGACAAATGGTTAAACCAAAATCAAACAAAGCAAACAAAAACGAAACAAAACAGAAATAAAAACAAACGAAAAGAAAGGTACTGTTATACGATATTCCACGTAATCACTTTGGGATTGAAGCAGAAAGAACGGAAGGAGGTGATATGAAAGAGTCCTCTTTCAAAACCAATAAGAAGGAGATGCAGCGTGAGAATGACTATCGAACAAAGGAGCGCGGAGAGAAGAGTCGAGAAATACCTAGAACAACGGAAGAGGTGAAGAAATGTGGCAGATACAACACTTCGAGAAAGGCAACGAAATGAGTATAATGAGGACGCAATGGGAGGATGTCGATAATCAAAAGTCAAAACTGTCAGAGATACGGTGTCAAAATGGCAATCAAACTACAGATCTCGATCAGAGGAGTCGAAAGATGCCAAGAACAACGGTAAAAGAGGAAGAAATGTGAAAATTACAGTGATGCGAAATAGCCAGCGAAATAGAGGTGGGGATGACGAAGTGGAGAGTGGTTACTTTTGAAGACGAAGGCTACCGAAGATGAGATGATAATAAAGCTTTCAATCGATAGAACTTGAAGAGACGAGCAGAATGAGTACAAACACGGAGGGTAAAAGTAAAAGGGTGCGGAAGTTACAGGGGTTTAAATTTGATAGGTGGGTGGGGCGGGCAGTGCAGAAAAGTCGAATCGATCACATATGTTACAGTTTAAAACTATAAACGTAAAGGTGACCTCCACGACGTAAGTGAAGTTAGCATTCACTGTCATACCAGCGCTTTCAACAAATTAGATCTCCAGTACCCAAAAATAGTCCCTTGACAAATAGCGTTGCTACAGGATATTTGATCTATATGATAAATAGAAGTGGCAGTGATGATATATTCCACATGTCAATGCGATCAATTCAAATGCCAAACAAACACATGGATTAAGAATCTATTGCTAATGAAACCTTGGCAATTTTGCAGCATACGTGGCAGACAGGTCATGATTGTTACTTTGGAATCTTGCGAAATCTTATGGTTTTGCACGGGACAAATTTTGGACTGTGTCGCACACACATGGATTAAGCGCAAAACTGAAAGATTTAGAGATGAGAGCAGATTTGTATTTAAAGTGTTAACAGACGCAGAACAAAAATCAGTAAGTTAGAATATGGCAATAGCTATGATTAATGAAATAAAAGTAGTTTGCTTCGGTACTTTAGCTTCAAAATTCTGGCGTGTTCCGTCTATGCAGTAGTCGTAGATAGAAATTAAAGCAGTGTTACAAAGAGAACACTAGCACTGAAAGCCGCTCTGGGAGTTCGGATTGTCTTCTTCCAACTTCTGAGTTTCATTTTCCGTGGCTTTTGACCTTTATAATAAGAAAATAACAATGCCAACATACTTTTTCAAGGAAGAGAATGGGTTGTGAAATCCAGGCCTTGAACGGATAGAGTTCCCAGAAAACAAGCTGTCAGCATTGTTATGTGGGTATCCTGCGCGTATTAGCATGTGTTGCAAAATTATCTAACAAAGTAAACTAAAATGGATGTCCAACCTGTGTTTCTGAGTTGATCTCACCAACATTTGGAGTATGAGACTCAGAACATGCTCGACGTCTTCCACACTCTGCATTATCTGCATGGTCATGTGTAACATGCACTGTGGCTTCTGGTGCAGCATGCGGGGTAAACGCCGAAAACGTGTGGCCCTTTGTGTCAACGTACAATTTTCGTTCTGCAAGATACCTTAGATGATTCTTGTCTGATTCCGATATGGGCTTTAAATCGTCCTACATTTTTCCATAGAAAACGGTGAAAATAATTACCTCAGGTGTAATATTTTTCAGAGTTTTGATACCAGGATCATCAATAATATATGTAATTACAACAGAAGCTAGGAAAAGGCAAACTGAAACAATTGGAATGATAACATTCAACAAGTCAGATGTTTCTTGGACTACCACGTTAGTTATCGTAGTGTTTGGTGTTGTAAAATCTCCGTAGCTCTCAGTTGTCATATTATTATGAACAATCTCCGAAAAACAAAACAACGCCTTTAGAGCGTGAAAGTTACTAGCCTAGTATAACAAATCCAGATTTCAGATTGTAGGTTTATTGTTTGAGGTTAGAAGGCTTTTTGTCTATGTTAATCTCTTTCCAGTAAATTTCTGTGGTTTTCTGAACGCCAGTTGAATAAATCTGTTTAAGTTGCAGACACCACATTTTCTGGAGGTCGGTTCCAAGAGTTTTTGATTCTCTGTGATGACCAGTACTCTACATAATTATGATTTCTTCATTCTTTTTTGCACTCTCTTGTCCTCTTCTCTAAGGTGTTGAGACCTGGTGGTAAGAAAAATAAAGGATAGTTTAGGTTCGTAATCATTATTTAAAATATGAAATATTGCAATTAAATCTCCTCTCTGCCTGCGGCATGATAGGGATGGGAGATTTAGACTGTGTATTCTTCCCTAGTATGATAGGTTAGCCATGTCGAGAACCATACATGATGTCTTCCTCTGAACCCTTTCTAGAATATGCGAGACTAGGACTGGCTACCTAGATACAATTTTGCAGTCTTGACCTCACCAGAGAAGTTTTTATGAGGAGGTGAACATATCTCTGGTGTTTCTAGTGAAGGCTCTGAAAATCGCTGATAAGGATCTGAAACTACGTGCAGCCTTCGCATGGCAGTGCGCTGTAGTTTCTAAATCGTGGCTAACCATGACAATTAAGTCCAACCGAAGCTGAACTGATGAAAGTGTTATTCATTCTAGTCAGTAGGAACTGATGCTTGCGTGCCTGACGGGTACGGTTTCGCAGTTCGCTACATTGATCGAGTGCACCCATTCTCTGTACCACTGTGATTATTTATTGAGGTCTTCTTTCAACGTGAGCCATCACTGTCGCTCTTGAGCTGCCTCCAAATTCTTAAGTCATCTGCATATAGGAGAATCGGTGAGCATGGATAACTGATTAATATGCAAAATAAATATGAGAGGTCCGATTGTTGTGCCTTGTGACACTCCGCTACGCACTGCTGTCCAGGAGGATAGTTTCGACCTGATTCTAACCCTCTGCCTCCCATCCATGAGGAATTCCCTCATCCATTTTAGTAAGCTTCCTTTGATACCAAGACTTTCCAACTTCATGAGTAGTCCGTTTTGAGCAAATTTATCGAAAGTTTCGCTGAAGTCAATGAAGACGACGTCAATATGTCTTCTGTTGTTTCTTAATTTGACCCAACTTTCTCTTGCAGTGAGAAGATTTGACAGGCATGAGAAGTTTACTCGGAAGCCACGCTGTGCTCTGGAAAACAAATTGTTGCTTTCCAGATATGCCATGATGCGTTAGTTGATGATTCTTTCCAGTGTCTTGATTAAAGTGCTACTGAGACTAATAGGCCTGTAATTTGAAGGGCTTTGTCTTGACCATCCTTTGTATATGGAGGTTACTATGGCGTCTTTCCAGTAACGATGTAATACTCCATTTGGGAGAGATAGCTCATAGATCTTGCCCAATGTGCCCGTTATGTGAGCTTATAGCTCCTTGAGAAGCCTTGGATGAAGATTATCAGGGCCCGTTGATCTCCCTCCATCTAGTTTCATTAGACAGTTGGGCAAAATCTCTTGGTCGACGTCAACGGAATCTATCCCGTATTCCTCCGGTGCAGTCACAGCTGATCCCATGGGGAGCAACGACTCCTGTAGAATGTCTCTGGAGAAGAAGCGTGCCCTTGATTCTGCTTTTTCGTGATCTTCTCCTATTATGTCACTGTCAATAGTCAGGTTTTGGACACCATTGGATGTTTTGTTACTGAAGTTCATTACGAGGAAATTTTCTAATGTTGTGCCTTTGCATTTTGAGCCAGATGTGCTTTGAATTTCATATTTGACTGCTGGATTTCTGCACAAGCTTTGTTCCTAGCTATGTTGTATAACTTTCTGAACTCTGGAGTCTCAAGTGTAGTATGCGGGTTCCAGAATTTATGTTTACGTCTGAGTGATTTACGGATCTCTCGGTTTATCCAAGCTGGCAATGTTTCCTAAGCTCTGGGACAGACACAGGGGTGAAAGGTTCAGTTAAGTAGGAGTTAAGGCTTTTAAACTGCTTCCACTTAACGCTCTGGGTTGATTTACCAGTTCACTGAGTTGGCTGCTGAGACGATCGCATTTATATCAGCTTTCAAAAGGTTTGGTCAAGCTGGGGTTATGGCCCCATGATAATGCTGCTGTGAACTGTAAAGTGAGGAAAGCGTGATAATTTCTTTCTGAAGGAGGAAGACGTTGTGTGAGATCCACATCCTCACCATAGGAGAACACAAGGTCTAGAGTTGAAGAGGAGTACTGTGAGTCATTGCGCGCACACCTGATGACATTTTGGAGTAGGGCTAGCGAAATGCTAGATTCCCGCAGTTTATGATCAAAAGGGTCTTCCGAAGATTGCGTTGCTAGGCTTACCCTGTCAAGTGTCCGGGTTTTGAATTCGTTGACTTCGAAACAGCATTATTTCACTGTTCAGGAGCCTAGCTTTTACATAAGAAATCATCTGTACTGTATCCAGGACTGCGGTATATAGCAATGAGGTCAATATCTTAGCCGGTACATTTAGGTCTGCAGTGTATTTCACACGATTCACTTACATGGGCGAGTGCTTCGAAGCTACGCACGGTTAAGCATTTCTCGAAGTGGATGACTTCGCCACCTCCTTTGTAGCTTGGTCACTCCACCCTGTGCACTTCGAAGTTTGACAGGTTAACTTCGTTACCAGTGTCATCAGACGTGAGCCAAGTCTCTGTGATACCAATAACATCCGAATTTCCGGCGTCTGTCATATTACCCAGCTCAGTCCGTTAGTTCAGCAGGTTGCCAGCGTTTGTACAGCAGAATGTCAACGAAGTTTCTTGCTTCCACGGCCTGCCCACAGGGGTTTCGGGATCATCAAACTTCGAACTTTGGCAACTCGAAAACCTTTAATCTTAAGGGGTATTTAGCCGTTTTGGCGTCGTTCGCTTAATTCTACGACCCAAGACTGTCTTTTGACGCTGTCTGCTAGGCACAAGTCGACACAGCTGTATTTGCCTGGTCCTTTGAGAATTTGTGATTTGCTTAGAATGGCGTCCCTCTCTTCTTTGGAGTTTACTACGACTTTGAAAATGCGTACGAGCTGATTTACTGTTGAGTCAGGTTTTGGTAAACTCTATATAAGCTGTGTATGGCAGAGGCCATGGATTGTGATGAGGGTTGGCTTGACATAGCTGACATGACTGGAGATTGCGGTATCGCAGGCTCGAGTTTGGAGGACAACCAACGATGAACTGTTAGTTGTGCCACGGACCGTTCATAGGCCCTCACCCGTGGCTTGACAAATGGTTAAACCAAAATCAAACAAAGCAAACAAAAACGAAACAAAACAGAAATAAAAACAAACGAAAAGAAAGGTACTGTTATACGATATTCCACGTAATCACTTTGGGATTGAAGCAGAAAGAACGGAAGGAGGTGATATGAAAGAGTCCTCTTTCAAAACCAATAAGAAGGAGATGCAGCGTGAGAATGACTATCGAACAAAGGAGCGCGGAGAGAAGAGTCGAGAAATACCTAGAACAACGGAAGAGGTGAAGAAATGTGGCAGATACAACACTTCGAGAAAGGCAACGAAATGAGTATAATGAGGACGCAATGGGAGGATGTCGATAATCAAAAGTCAAAACTGTCAGAGATACGGTGTCAAAATGGCAATCAAACTACAGATCTCGATCAGAGGAGTCGAAAGATGCCAAGAACAACGGTAAAAGAGGAAGAAATGTGAAAATTACAGTGATGCGAAATAGCCAGCGAAATAGAGGTGGGGATGACGAAGTGGAGAGTGGTTACTTTTGAAGACGAAGGCTACCGAAGATGAGATGATAATAAAGCTTTCAATCGATAGAACTTGAAGAGACGAGCAGAATGAGTACAAACACGGAGGGTAAAAGTAAAAGGGTGCGGAAGTTACAGGGGTTTAAATTTGATAGGTGGGTGGGGCGGGCAGTGCAGAAAAGTCGAATCGATCACATATGTTACAGTTTAAAACTATAAACGTAAAGATGACCTCCACAACGTAAGTGAAGTTAGCATTCACTGTCATACCAGCGCTTTCAACAAATTAGATCTCCAGTACCCAAAAATAGTCCCTTGACAAATAGCGTTGCTACAGGATATTTGATCTATATGATAAATAGAAGTGGCAGTGATGATATATTCCACATGTCAATGCGATCAATTCAAATGCCAAACAAACACATGGATTAAGAATCTATTGCTAATGAAACCTTGGCAATTTTGCAGCATACGTGGCAGACAGGTCATGATTGTTACTTTGGAATCTTGCGAAATCTTATGGTTTTGCACGGGACAAATTTTGGACTGTGTCGCACACACATGGATTAAGCGCAAAACTGAAAGATTTAGAGATGAGAGCAGATTTGTATTTAAAGTGTTAACAGACGCAGAACAAAAATCAGTAAGTTAGAATATGGCAATAGCTATGATTAATGAAATAAAAGTAGTTTGCTTCGGTACTTTAGCTTCAAAATTCTGGCGTGTTCCGTCTATGCAGTAGTCGTAGATAGAAATTAAAGCAGTGTTACAAAGAGAACACTAGCACTGAAAGCTGCTCTGGGAGTTCGGATTGTCTTCTTCCAACTTCTGAGTTTCATTTTCCGTGGCTTTTGACCTTTATAATAAGGAAATAACAATGCCAACATACTTTTTCAAGGAAGAGAATGGGTTGTGAAATCCAGGCCTTGAACGGATAGAGTTCCCAGAAAACAAGCTGTCAGCATTGTTATGTGGGTATCCTGCGCGTATTAGCATGTGTTGCAAAATTATCTAACAAAGTAAACTAAAATGGATGTCCAACCTGTGTTTCTGAGTTGATCTCACCAACATTTGGAGTATGAGACTCAGAACATGCTCGACGTCTTCCACACTCTGCATTATCTGCATGGTCATGTGTAACATGCACTGTGGCTTCTGGTGCAGCATGCGGGGTAAACGCCGAAAACGTGTGGCCCTTTGTGTCAACGTACAATTTT